AACCATAGATAAAAAGTGGTCATTGATCACCTCCATTAAGTGTATTGTGTAGATGGAAGCACCTGTTGCACCTTGCACAGAACTCAAGCTTGTTAGGCTGTGTGAAATGCCTTCAGAGCATGGGGAAATTTGACTTGGTGACCTTCCTTTATGAATCCCAAATAACAGTGGGAACATGCTGTTTTTTCAGATTGGTAAGCAAGCATAGTTAAGTATGGTGAAATGTCGTAGCTGAGGGTACTGAGCATGGTTAGAACACACAACTCCAGCTTATTTTGTCACCCAGGTAGATGTGCTGTTTTCTGTGGCCTGTGATAAAAGTGTTAGATGCATCTTCGGTGTGCCTCAGATGCTTCCTATTATAGGCCAGAAAAAAATCCATTAGAATGGATTTTTATTTTTTGTCTTCTGAGAAGCATAAAGTATAGATGGGCGCAGGGTCATCTTTAAAAGGTCAGGTTTAAGCCCTTGTAACATGAGTAAATTAGAACGGCTTTGAAATTTCAGGCCACAGTAGCTGTGGCATGGAAGTTCTGTGGGCATTTGTCCTCCTCCTTTCATTCCCCTGGTGAAGGCTCTACTTGGAAAACCTGTTAGTGCTTCATATAAAACACTTCTGCTCAAGAAAATGCTTCTTTCAGCCACTGAGTCCCCTTTCCAGCCTGTGAATGTGGCTGAAGTGTCATGTACAGAGGACACACCAGGTCAGACTAATTCCCTGTTTTGAGAAGCAGTGAGCACCAGCCAGGGACTTGAACCACATAAGAAGCTAGTCTTGGAGGAGAAATCATGGGCACGGTAGTGAAGGTTGCTGTAATTATCTTCTTTTTCAGGGAGAAAACCCCCACAAACCCCAAAACTGATTCTGCATTTTTCAGTGTGTGAGTTTATGTTTCTATATAAATCCATATTATTGCTACAGAAAGTAAAGACCCACTGATACAGTCTTTATTTTGCTCCTGTAATTTTCAACAACCAGCTGTTTGGTTAAGGATCACAATGGTGAAGGGAGGGTTAGAAAGTAGTTACAGTTTTGAATTTCTCAAGACATCTGTGCTTGACCCAGATGGAGACCAGTAACGAGTGGTGTCCCTCAGGGTTTGGCGTTGGGACCGGTGTTGTTCAATATCTTTGTCGCTGACATGGACAGTGGGATTGAGTGTGCCCTCAGCAAGTTTGCCGATGACACCAAGCTGTGTGGTTCAGTTGATACCCTGGAGGGAAGGAATGCCATCCAGAGGGACCTTGACATCCTTTGAGGTGGGCTGATGCCAACCTCATGAAGTTTAACCATGCCAAGTGCAAGGTCCTACACCTGGTTTGGAGCAATCCCAGGCACAGCTACAGGTTGGGAAGAGAAGAGATTCAGAGCAGCCCTGTGGAGAAGGACTTGGGGGTGTTGGTTGATGAGAAAATGAACATGAGCCGGCTTCAGTGTGCACTCAAAGCCCAGAAAGCCAACCGTATCCTGGGCTGCATCAAAAGGAGCGTGACCAGCAGGTCAAAGGAGGTGATCCTGCTCCTCTACTCTGCTCTTGTGAGACCTCACCTGGAGTATTGTGTGCAGTTCTGGTGTCCTCAACATAAAAAGGACATGGAACTGTTGGAACAAGTCCAGAGGAGGGCCACGAGGATGATCAGGGGACTGGAGCACCTCCTGTATGACGATAGGCTGAGAAAGTTGGGGCTGTTCAGCCTGGAGAAGAGAAGACTGCGTGGAGACCTTGTAGCAGCCTTCCAGTATCTGAAGGGGGCCTATAGAGATGCTGGGGAGGGACTCTTCATTAGGGACTGTAGTGATAGGACAAGTGGTAACGGATTAAAACTTAAACAGGGGAAGTTTAGATTGGATATAAGGAAGAAGGTCTTTACTGTGAGGGTGGTGAGGCACTGGAATAGGTTGCCCAGGGAGGTTGTGAATGCTCCATCCCTGGCAGTGTTCAAGGCCAGGCTGAACAGGGCCTTGAGTGTCATGGTTTAGTGTGAGGTGTCCCTGCCCATGGCAGAGGGGTGGGAACTAAATGATCTTAAGGTCCTTTCCAACCCTAACTATTATATGATTTTATGACCCCCTGTTTAAGATAACTAATGGGCTATTTCTATGCATGTAGCTGGGTAAGGATGGATCTCTGGGAAAGCCTACATGAAATCTCTTGGAAGGATTTTATCTATGCTTAGTTCTGTGTGGCAACAGTCACTTCGGTGTTAGTTCACTGGGTAACCGGTTTGTTGTTAACTCATGCGTCAGAAGCTACCTTTACATTTTTTGTTTGAATTGGAAATTAATGTCATGATTAGATGTATCATGCAATGTAGGTACAGTGAAGACAATGCCAGGCTTTCTTAATTCAGGGGTCTCGCTACTGGCTTTTGAGATTTGTATCCCCAGCTTTGAGCTTACTGGTTACACTTCCGTAGCTGAATTTTCTTGAGCTGATGACCGTATACATGAGGATCATGAGCTCTGCATTGGTAGTGATGAAATTCAAGATCTAATTCAGAGTTTCTGAAGTTAGTGAAAGACCTAACAATGGGTTTAGTAGGCCGTGTGTGTGTATAATTATTATAGTAGGACTAAAGTGTCTACTTCAAGATCATATAAAAATAAAAAAATGCTGCCAAAAAAATCTTTTGCCATGACTTTTAATAGTCAGTTAAAGTTCATTAATTTTATTAGGCTACTATATCGAGATATGTGAACATATGGTAAACTATTTGATTTATTTTTGATAAGTTCTAAAAGGCAGCATAAAATAACATAAAGTGATACCAACTTTTTATCCATGTTCTAAAGAAATGCGGGAATCTTTGGAAAATTAGTGATTTGCAAGATTCTGAGCAAAGTAATAGTTATTACTATCTGAGGACTTAGTTGTTCTCGTTAACTGAGTTGTGTTTTGAACACCATTCAGCATGTATAGGCATTTGAATGAGTGTGGTATTAAAAATTTAGTCACCCAAAGCTGTTCTGAGAGGGATCAGGGAGACAGAGCCGCTTCAGAGAATAGTTTAATCCATGCAAATTCTAAATTAGCCCCTGGAGGTTCTCTTCTCTCAGCAATGCCTGAGGAATTGAGAAACCTGAGATTACTTTGTGCCTAAAGTTAAATGGAATGCATGTGTTGGGGTTTGGTTGTTGTTTCATTTTTGAGGTGGTTTTTTTTGTGCGTATGTGTGTGGGTTTGTTATTTTGTTTGTTTGTTTTTTCAACTTGTTACGAAATCTCTTTTGTGTTAATAAAAGTCAAGTTTATTTCCTTTATTTTTTATATTCAAGGCAGTTTTAAAAATATTGGCCTTTTAGGTTCATGTCTTGGCTCTGTTTTTTGTTTGAGTTTGCAGGGCATTGGAGTTTGTTTAGGAATCCAGTACTCATGGGTGTGCTGTGCTGTGCTTGGGTTTCATTATGGTGAGTCTGCATGGGCTTCTCTTAATCAAGATAGGCTGAACACTGTATCGTGCCTTGATGTGACTCTCATCTCCAAGAACAGGACTTTCAGACACCTTAGGCATCCACTACCTCAAACATCTGTTTGCACTGACTCCAACTGTGTGGTTTCTTGTAGACACTGTTATAGAGCCTCCACATGTTTTTCTGTGCTTCAGTTTTTCATCACTACTGTTTAGAGAGCTTTGGAGGGCAACCAAGATTTCTCTTCTAAATGATTGCTGTAATGGAAGTTCTTCCTCAGCTGGAGCTGTAGTAGTCCAAAATACTGTTTTGCTATGAAGCTATGTTCCTTTTCCCTATTGTTCCAGATTTCATTCCCTCCTGAAACCTCTTACCATGATCCTTTGTTTTCTTTGCTACTTTATGAATGCAGACAGTCAAGCTGTTTTCAACCTCTTACTGAAAATTAGTTATTTGTCTCTGCAATCTTTGTGGTTTGTTCTATTGCTTCTTCAAACAGCGGTCCAAACAGATATCATCTACAAAGCTAGATGACATCCTGAGAACTGGGCACATGGGGATGCAACAGAGCTGCATGGACTTATCATACTATATCCAATACAACCTTTAGTTTAGTCTTAGTGTTTTGTAAAGCCAGTTTTAGTTAATATATCGGATTTATGTCTCTTTTGATCAGTATTCTTTTTGGATATAGGCTTTTTTTGTAGGTAGCTGACTGATCCAACTGCATTTTATATTTTTTAAAAAATTTGATATCTCTACATTACTTGAAAAAAAAGTGTCTTTAGAAGCTTAAGTCTTCTGACTTCTGATCACCACTGCAATCTCAGTCATACCATATCATGAGTTATGTGACAAGTTCCAGCTATTCCGAAATCAAACCAATAATATCAGGAAGGAGTTTAAAACTTAGTATGTGTGCCAAACAAATGTCCACAAACCAGTGATACAGGTTACACATTTTAGTTGACTCAAATTTGTTTACTTACTAACAAAGCTCTATTTTCTGCTCAGTCAAAACTGAGTTAGGTTTTTATGAGTGTAATGAATAGTAAGGTAAATACCTGTTGATCGGCTATTAGAGTGTACACCTTGAAGGGAGAACAGTTTGAATGTGTAAACATTGTGTCCTGGCAAATATTGAAGCTTTTTACTGTTGAAGGCTTCTGTTTGTGTATTTTTCTTCTTACCACATCATGTCTGGCATGGCTGTAAAGCTACGCAAGTTAGTGAGGTTTTTAAAAGATGTTATAGATGAGTAATTTTGTTGTATGCATTAGTGCTTATGTAGCAATAATTGTTAACATTGTTTGGCATTACTTAGGCCTTTCAATGTGATTCATCTTATGATGTTACTGTACATTGTGTAGTGGCAAGAGCAGAACCCTGCTTCAAAGTGATTAACATTCAAACAAAGAGAGAGACAGGAGAGCAGTGTTGCTTTTATGCCTGTTTAGCAGTTCTGTGTGTATCCCTGTCCAGTTCACTGTAACCTTATTTACTCTAAGAAATTTGTGGTCTAAGATCAAGATGAAAATACGGTCATTGATCTATAGGTTTAAAATTTATTTACTTATTTTTCAGTCTAGACCAAAGCCATAAGGGGTTACTTTCAGCAGTGGAATTTCTCACATGCAGAGAATAAGGTTAGTCTTTGGAGATTTAATTTATTTAGAAATTAGCTAGAGTTAAGATTCAATATGGAGCTATTTCAGAGTGCATTTAAAATGATGTGCTTAAGAGTGTTTATTTTATTTTTAGCAAGTGCTTTAAATTAAACTTGAATTGTATTAAAAGTGGGACCAATAGTAATTTTCAGTTTTATTCTCCCTAAAATTAAGTATTTTAAACAGCAAAACACTTGAGCTCAGTTATATGAATGGAACCTCAGCTAGAGCTGCAGTGCTAGTGTCTTTATTACAGGGGAGAATTCTTTCTGGAAAGCCCAATATTGCAGGTTTTTATGACGTAATTATTATGAAAGACCCTTACTCTTACCCTTTAAACTGTTATGCAACTCAAATAGGCTGCTGACTTGACTTCAGGATTCCTCTTTCAGGTTAAAGCCATAATGTGATGCTGAGTATGTTTTGATTAGATTAATTCTTACCCGTCTAATTTATTAGAACTTTAGAACACTTTTGCTGATTATCAAATCATAACTTTAAAAAAGCATCTTATTTAAATGCAACATTTAGTTTCATGTTTGATTCACTTTTGAGCTCTTTAAATACAACTGGACTGCTTCTGAAAGAGTTCCCACTGATGTCCTCATGATTATGAGCAATCTAAAATTAGCAGTCTGGCTGTTTTCAAATTACTAATAATTCATTTTTAAGAATCCTCATCCATTTTACTCCTAGTGGTTAATTTGGTTGTACTTATGTTTTTTTCCTTACAGTGATGATATGTAGGAAACAGATTATAACCACTCACAAAGGGTAAATGTAAATACAAATTATCACTACATTATGGGCTTATTTAAACAAAGAAGGTCTGTAGCAAAGCCTCCTTTTAAGTGCTCCTGTAAACTTTCTTGAAGAGGTGACTGTGGACTTGGCTGTATGAATTATTGCAAATGGCAGCAAAACTGAATAAATTTGGTTAATACCTCTCATGTCATTTCCTCTTCTTACATCTTCCACTTCAGACCACTTTCTGTATAATTTATAGAAAGAATTTTGGAGGATGGTAAGTCATGAAAGCAGTACTCATGCTTACTGTGTCTCAAATACCATTCTATAGATGTGGGCATTCCTTGTGTATACGTTTGGTTTATCATCCACAGAAATTGGTGGATATTTCATTATTGATTTCAGTGAGGGTTGGACCAAGATACTTTTGCATAGTTTGGTTTTGTTTTTTCTTGAATGATGGTGCCTTTTCAATTAGAAGCTTTACTTGCACAAGTGTGGTTTGTGAACCTCTACATTGTTTAGAGTAACATACCAGCTTTTGGGGGGTTTGTTTTAAAGAGAAGGAGGTACAATTTCTGCTTTTCTGTGTTCTAAACTATATCACTTTATGTTAAAGCAAGTTATTAATTTGTATTAATTTATATTACAAGTTACTCTGTATTTTACTAATGAAATACTTTTTTTTCCATTACTTCACTGTAAGGATACCTGACCATAAAATATTCTAGTAAACAAAATGGCAAAATAATCATTAAAATGATGCCATAATTTCTTGTTAGCTACTTAGTAAAGTGTCATTATAAATGCAAAGCTTTAACTTAAGAATGATCCCCAGCGTTATGTTTATGAAGCCTAGGTAGAAATGTTGGTGTTGAGGTCTGTATATTATGAATATATTGTTGCAAGACTACATTTTTTTTTCTCCTTCTAAAGAACTTCATAGTTTTGTAGTGAGTCAATAAATCAAGCCAACTCTACAAGTGTTTCTTACACAAAGAATTGGCGTCTGCTGAATGTCTGTATAGTGCAGCTAGAATGGAAAGTCATTTTGTTTGGAGCGACTTTAGTCGACATTTTCAGAAAGACATTTTGTTGGCTGGTTATATCCCGACACATTTAATGAAAAATCAGTCTGTTGGATTATTTCTTGTGCATTTTTAAAGCAACTGTACTTTCCCTGTAATAGATATAATTAATTATACACAAGGACACTTTCATGGAAATGAGCTCACACGTAGAGCCGATAAAGAGTTGTCCACATGAATTTTGAAATAGTATTTGGTCCAGTGAATCTACCTGAAGCCTCAGAATAAAAGAAATTTTGAATAAATACATCCTTATTTTGTTGCATAGACTTTGGAATATTTATAAAATTTTTTAGTAAGCTATACTCATCTATATCCGTTAGAGAAATTTGCCTTGATTGGTTTCTGTGACTTCATTTGTGGTGGTACAATTTTGACATAAGACTGGCAGAAGAGTAAGACACTGTCTAGATTAAAAGCAAACAAAAAAAAACATGGTAGGTCTTTGTATGGGGCAGTAAAGAGAAAACTGTTATGAGATAAATAGGGGGCTTTGCTTATATGCTTGTATAGATCTATAGAAAAAGAGGTTATTCAACACAACTCTTTTTCTTGACATCCAGTGTAAATATCGTGTGCTGTAAATGTAAGTCCATTACTGTTTGCCCTGGATAATGTGGATATGGGAGATGGCTTATTTCCTCCTTCTTTATATTTAGCCCTTTACTCCTCTCAAGCTCTTCAGACTAAACAGTGGTCTCTTCAGTTTGTTCTTTGTAGTTGTTAACTTGTGTTTAGCTTGTGACTCAGATAGCTTTTCTGGAGAGCTGCTACAAAGTTGGAACCTCTTCAATTTGTGTTTGTCCACTTGAATATTCCTTCTTGAGGGACAGAACTTAAAAGATCCTGAAGAGTAGACGTGTCGTGACAAAATCTCATCGTCTTGCTTTTTTTTTTCGTGTATTTCTATTATCAACCATGTTCCTTGTGAATTCTGATCATGTCCTCCAAAATTTCTACAATGTATCACACAGCAGTCAGCTGCCTATTTTGCAAGCATTTCCCTCTTCTGCCATCCAAATCCAGAACAAATATGTTAAACAGCACAGCCCCAAGAGTACAGCTGGGTTCACTTTGGCAGTGAACCATTGATAAGACACTGTAGGGTACAGTTTTCCAACAGTTTTACTTCCCTCTTTGTAGTAACTTCCTCTAGATCATATTTCCTGCATCTTAGAATATCAAGGAAAAAGTCTTACCAAAGTCAAAATAAATTACAGAGTGGACAAGATGAGGCTTGTAATGAACACTGAGGCCACAAGCTTTCCAAGAAAACAGGGGTCAGGCATCTGAACTGACAGAAAAAAAATGACACACTTCTTTTTAATAGGAATTGTAAGAGGAAGTGCAGCTCCATGACAACTGTTTCTGTTTCTTGTAGTCTTTAATCAGTGCAGCACATTGGAGAAAGGGCCAAGTCTGTTTATCAGTATCTTTTAGTGGGTCACTTTGGCCACAGCACCTTACAAAATCATACATGGGTGGAGGGAAGCTGTTATACAAATATTTGATGTGCAGCTATAGCAGGTTTTGCCTGCAAATTTTTATTATGCTGCAGAAATAGTATGTTTAAAAGTATATGTGGTCTTTCTAGCAGCAGAAGCTGTTTGGATCTGACTGGTGTCTGCATTTCCATGCAGGGATGGTACAGGCTTGGGAAGAAGGGTGCAGGGGGCATTGAGGTTGGTCTGGGCTGTGGGTTTGCAGGAAGAAAGTGAGGCTCTTCCCATGTGAAAATGTTAGAATACTGCTTATTATGCAGAGGGTTTATCCTAACTCATCTGATCCCTGTCACTGATTTCTTATCAGAATGAACCATTTCCCTGTCATAGCAGGAAAATATAATGAGACTCATCTGACATGATTTGTGCATTATACATGGCTGTATCAGAGGTTTACAGTCTCTTGCAGGGTAGGGGATAAGGATCCTTCTTTTTCCACTCCCCAAGAACTTGCAAACAGCTTGTTTATTTATCGTTTGCTCTATTGTTTGTGCAGTTGGAGTTGAGCCTGGGAGAAGAGCTCTGGTTTTCTTTTCCAGGCTTCTGAAACCACCAGTCTTCCAGATTGGTTATCCTTCTCAAAGGTAGCAACTAATAGTTCTGTTGTTCCTTCTGTCAAAATTAAAAGTATCCTAGGGAAAACTAGATGAAGTAATTTGATTTTATTTTCTTTTCCTAATGTACAGAAGAATGGTTTCCCCATTTTAGTTGGAGCTCTTTGTCACTGTGTTGATCGTGTCAGCTGCCTGATTGCAACTAACCTTTTAGAAAAAAAGTAAAGAGTAAATAATATAAATCTGTCTTCTCAGTGCTATCTGTCAGTAAGCTGCTCCTCTCCATTAGGTAGAAGATCAACTTTCTTTTGAAGGTTAATTGACTATTAAATTGAAAACTGTTTTTCCTTCTTCACATTCTCGACTAAGTTCTTCCAAGTAGTTTGAGTCAAATTTAGAAATGTTTACTTTTCAGTGGTTTTCTCTATCCTCTGTACTGAAAATTGTGATAAGTACATAACAGAAGGTTGCTGGACAATCTGTTCTGCTTTATTCTTTCCTCAGCGGATTGGAAAGTTAAAGCACATTTGTTTCCCAATACTGATGTCCTGTACATTGGGTTGGATTGTGGGAGGCTATGTCCTACTCAACTTTCTGTGGTTAGTGTCGTTACCTTCTTTTCATTCTTGTCACTGTCCAATTAAAGTAGTAGTTATCTGTTTATACACCATGTGCTGTAGTAGATATAATGAGGCACTAATTGGCATCTACTGTAATTATAACTTCGACCAAAACCAGCAGTGCTTGCTGATACCCGTATGCCGTAAGAGGTTTCTGTGCAGAACTCAATCACCTGATTCAAAACAAAACACGCACACACACAAACAAACAAAAACCCCAAACAAACAAAACAAAACAAAAGACAAGCAAAAAACAACAATGAAAAAACCACCACAACATGAAACATATGTAAAAGCTAAATGAGATAAATCTGTGCCTGGTAAATCATTTGAACAGATGAGAAGTTAGAGGGCTGGATTTAGAGCTGTGCCATTTTACATAAGCTAACAATCTGGTCTAGGAAAGGAAAAACAGCTTTGTATTTATAGGGACATAAGGTAGACTTATCAGAATTTATGTGTTGCTGG